TTTCCTCTGAAGAGCATGTACTGGGTACACACTTCCATTCACTCTCAACCACCCTTGAAAGGCCAGTACTCTGTCCTCACACTCATGTCCACAGAAAGATGAGTGAAAACATCTTAGGACGAAACTCAAGAGCTCTGACCAGCACTGAGCCAGCACTGGGGAATAGAGGGCCAATGCACTGCTGCAGTGCCCCCTCATTTAACCCTAACACAAAACAAATAGCTGCCTACACAGGGCCTCTTCATCACCAACCAGAACCAGCCCTGGCTCCATCTCCCAAAGCTGCTGCAGTCATAGCTACCATCATGATTATGTCTGATGGATGCCAGAGACAAACCAAAAATAAAACACTGCTGCCAGGCAGCTGTGACAGGTACATTTAGGGGACAAGTGGAAGAGAACCAGTCAAGATAAGTGTAACTCTGAGGAAAAGCCCTTAGGCATGTAGAACCCAAGAGACACAAAAGCAACTTATTTCAAAGTTTTAAGAGAGGGTTGGCAAAAACTCTTAGCAATCCCTAAGAAACTGATAGACCAAGACATTTTTAAAGTTTCAAGTAAACATATATTACACATTAAACATATGTTCCTTTATGTCCCATCCTCCCTCCCCCAATTAGTCTTTGTTACACTAGACAGTTTCACTTTAACTTTCATGCCATGTATGTGTATACATATATGTTTTATGTATGCATGTACAATGTAAAAACTACAAAGAGAAAACATGTATTTGTCTTTCTGAGACTGGCTTAACTTGCTTGACCTGATGCAGCTCCAGCTGCAGCAGTTTTCCCTGCTAACAACATAACTTCTTCACAACTGTCAGACTTGCGTGTGAATCCCTGTCACACTCCTTTCCCAACACCCTGCTTGGGTCCACTCCTGGGACAGTGCTGTGCTGCACTCCCTGATATACTCAATCAGAGCCTTCAGGTAGGTACCCAGGAGTGCTACAAGACCTGTTTCTCAGGTTTGTTTTTCTTTTGCTTCTTTGTTTGAGAACCCTACATACTGACTTCCACAATGCTGGACTAGTTTAGATTCCCACCAGTGGTGTGTAAGAGTTCCCTCTTACCCCACATTCCCACCAGCATTTGTTGTTTATTTTCTTAAGACTGCCATGTCTTGCTAGGGCAAAATGCAATCTCAATGTAGCTTGCTTTTATGCTTTCTTTATGAAGTTATGGCTGTCTTGGAGTTCAGAGTCCACTACCTCTTCAGTACTGGGATTAAAGGCATGGCCACCACTGTGTAGTTTTGGTTTGCTTTTGTAAGATGGCTGGCGAAGGAACAATTTTTTTCTTTACGTTTATTAGCAATACATGTTTAGTGCCAATCTCAGTGACTCAGTCTGTTTCATCTATCCATTTACTGATTTTTTTTTATTTCTTGTTGTTTAGTTTTTAAAATTCTGTATATTTCAGATATTAGTCTTCTGTTGGGTGCAAAACTAGCAACCGCCTCCCGTTCTGTAGGCTGTCTCTTCACCCAATCAACTGCTTCCTTTGCTGTATTTTCACTACATAAGATCCTATTTGTCAGTGTTGGTCTTATTTCCAAGTGAAGGGAGTCCCATCCAGAAAGCTCTTGCCTGTGTCTATTTCTTGAAGTGTTTTCCTTATTTTTCCCCTAACAGTTTCATAGTTTCAGGTCTTACAGACCAGGGATTAATATTATAAGCATAGCTTGGAGAAATATTATTAGGGAGAAAGAAAATATCCTACCATGTGGGAGATAACAATCTTCACCAATGCAAGCAACATGAGCAGGTGTCACAGAATGCTCCATAAAGTTAACAGCAGATCTGGAGTGTTCCCCACCCCTAGTGCTTTAAAGAAACATATCAAGCCTGCGTTGAGTGAAGGTAGCTTTAGCTCTTTGGCTGGGCTCCCATGAATGCATGGTGAGCCAAAGGACCAAGTCACTGAAATGTACACTTCACCTATGCTGAACATACACACACCACCACTTTACTAAAGGTTACTACTGCCTGTGCAATAAAAAAGAAAAATGTCTGATGCCAGACATCTATCTTGGTGACACCACTTGGGCCATGTGCTCAAACAATGTCCACAGAAGAATGAGCCAGATCCAGGGTGGGTTAGTAAAAGCAGGACTGCACCACCATGGATATCAGAGAAAATACACACCAGAGAGAGACAGGAATCTGAACAACATGAAATGGCAGCACTTACATACTATGGAGCGTATGGTACAGGGCATGGCTCCAACTCCCACAATAAGCCAGCATATCTGAAAACTATATCCCTAGGAGCTATCTGGGTTACCAACATAGATCTTTTGAGTCACAGAAAAGAGAAACTAATTTTAATCTGGGCCTACTATGAACACTTTCAGAGAAACCTGAAGAGGTGAGGTCCTTGCAGAGAGGGTCTGAATTCAATTCCTAGCACCCATGTTGTGTAGTTTACAACTGCCTGTAACTCCAGCTCTAAGGGATCCAACACCTTCCTTCTAGCCTCTGTACTACCCATGTACATACCCATACACAAATACACAGACATATGCATAATTTAAAACTACATTAAAAATTTAAAGTTACGGGTGTGTGTGTGTGTGTGTGTGTGTGTGTGTGTGTGTGTGTACACATTCCAGAGGTTAACTTGGGTATCTTCCTCTATTTTGCTCACCACAGTATTTTTTATGACAGGTCTCTTACTGAACCTGGAGCTTGTTAATTCAGAAGTTCTGGCTAACTGGCAAACCCTCAAGATCCTTCTGTTTTTGCAACTCTAGCACTGGAATTACTGGCACACAACTTGGCCTAAGTCATTTTATGTGTGTGCTGGGGATCCAAACTCAGCAAGCATTTTATCAAGTGAGGTATCTCCCCAGCCCTTAAGTATGTTAGTAATTTTTTGGCACTCCTACCACAAAATGAGATGGAATTCAGCACCTGACCCACTAACGCCCCAAGAAGATGTTAGGCAAGCAACTCGGGAAAGGCAATCAGTACCTGCCCCAAACCATCCAAAACAGACAGGGTGAACTGAGCCTGGTGGTCTGTTACTATGTAGGTGTAGGGTACCAGACAGGCTGTCCCCACTGTTCCCTGAAAACTCATGTTCCATGTTATATGTTCTATACAACCACAACTTCCATGAAGTAAGGGATTTATAAAAATAAAAGCTAAGACTCAGAGAAGGCTAAGCTTAGAGATAGATACATTTGAACCAAGCATAATTTTGTCCTCTTAGTTATTCAGCAAGTCATCCACTCAAACAGGTATATAGAAGTCCCATTTGCGTGTAACAAGGGAGCCAACACTTGGTACTTTAGTAATTTCTCTCAACCTTAATTTCTCATCTATACAGCAATTCTGTGCTTTAAGGGTCTCTTGAAGATTAAAATAGGGAAAGTTTCTGACACATGCCAAACTTTATTACAATGTTAATTCAAATTCTGTAATATCCTATTTGGATCTGTTACCTAAGATTACCTAAGATTATTTTAAGTGAATCCTGATTATTTATAACAATCTACAGTAATGTTATTTCTGCCATGGCTTCCTAAATAAACATCACCCTCCCTCTAAAAATTTATGTACTAAACCTAAGTTTCAGAAATCCACCTACATTGGTAATGTCACAGGTATACATATCTGACATAGCTCCTGCCCCATTGAAGAACCACAGAACACAGGCCAAGACATTCATTTAGTCACTGTAGCCTAGATTTACATGTGTAGCATGTGTAGTAATACTCATCCATGCACATGGAGGCTACAGGAAAAAGGGCAGGTGTCCTACTCTCACTCTCTGCCTCATTCTTTAGAAACAGGGCCTCTCATTAAACAAAGGGGAAAGCTGGTGGGTCAGCAAGTTCCAGCAACCTTCTTGTCTCCTCCCTCTACAGTATTAGGAATCTGTAGTCCCACCAATCTTTTTTATAGACTTGCACTCAAGCATTCATGCTTGCACAGCAAGTGCAGGATCTTATCCAGTGAGTAATCTCCTCACCCCTAGACTTCTTTGCTTTCCCTCAGAACTCCTGGAGCTGCAATGGGTATCATGCACGACCAGACACAACTGGAAGGGGGGGGGGGGGAGTTGTTGGAAGGTGCTACATGGAGGTCATGTGTCTGAAGAAAAGAACTAGCTTTGTTTGTCAACAAGGGCAGAAAATGCATACATCATAGAACTTGTGCATGAAGGAAGTAAGACTGTCTTTCCATTGGCAACCTGAGGTGACAGGCCTGGACAATGAGCCTGAGCACTGACAAGGTACATGGGGCAACAACACTGGGCCTCACAGAAATGGATGTCCTCTGGTGATCTCTAGCCAACATCAGCAAAGAGGTTTGTAGACAGGAAAGCTTGCTCTCAACACATGTCTACGTGAAACCAGCAACACTAGAAGGAACAGTAAGGATTGCCTGTTCTTTCTTCCTGCGTTGTCATCTCACTGTCTTGGACAGTTTCAGTGTCAAGAACACCCACCTTCCTCTTCTTTCTTACCCTGAACCAAGATAAGTTTCAGGTATTTAATTACCTCTAAAGTACACAAGGAGGTTCTGCTGCCCCATTCTGTGTGGAGCACTGGGCTGCAGGGTAGTAAACAGAGAAGACAATCACTATGGTACAGCATCTTAGTCCACACTGTGAGGTCAGCTGAGTTTTCTTAGGGAAATTGAAGGCAGACTTCATCAAGATAACCTTTGTATCTGCTCTTGAAAAACAAGAGGCTAGTTGTCTACAAGGAGGCCCTGAGAATACCCATGTTATTATTAAGAGACTAAGACATCAAACATGGGCTTTTCTCCAGAGTATGGCTGCTCAGACTAAGAACTGGGCTCACTGTCTCCAGGGGAACTTGAAGACCAGGTGAAAAAGGCTCACAGGCAAGGACAGCAAAGGCAGCCACCTCCTGAGGGACAAGGTCTCATACCCCAAAGCCAATCCTAACTCTAATGCAGTCAGGCCAGCTCCCTCCCTGGAGCTCAGACTGGCTGCAGTGAAGCCCCTGCCCCGGCCTGTTACCTGCTTCCCTTTCACCACATGCTTGGGCACTGGTACCCTGACCTCCAGGTCAGTATAGTCTTGCGACCAGGTGTAGTTCTCACGGATGGCACCATTGTAACTGTCCGGATTTTTCTGGAACTGCTCTTGAATCCTGAGAAAAAACAAGAAAAGTGAGGTGCAGCTGAACAAATCAAAGCAGAGAAGTCTCAAAGCAGCTTCACATGTGTTACTCCTGTGTCCTAGAGAGAGATCAACACAAAATCAAAAAAAAAAAAAAAAAAAAAAAAAAAAAAAAAAAAGCTTACTTGCTATGAAGGTCCCACTTTGGAGCAATTTTCTTTGTGATACTCCTATGTGGTCTCCCAGGAAATCACAGTTCTGCTTGCTGCCAGTTCAGAACCAGGCCTTTAAACAGGCAGCCACCTTGGTTAGGAAAATCCCTGACTCATGAGTGCCGGGTGTGATGATGAACTGCTGGGAAGAACTTTTCAAGAAGGAAAAAAAAAACCTCTAGCCTGTAGCTGTTGTACTTCAATCCTAACCCAACACTAAGCCTCTCTTTCCTCCTAGTAAGTAAATCAAAGCCAAAAGGACTGCATTAACTATGCACATCATTAGCAAGGGTTAAGCAATCCATTTAATGAGATGGCCTAAAAAACCTAGTCAACCAAATCCTATTACATACCTCCATTACAAACCCGGCACATATACAAAACAGTCTAGCCAGGAAGCAGATGTTGAAGATAAAATACAAAATCTGTCATAAAATTTACCATGTTAATCATATAAATGCCTTTTAAAAATGAGTTTAGACTCACAAGTCCACTAAATGAGTTGAGGATCTAATTCACAGACAAAAGCCTTTGTCAGCTGACAAACTGAAGCAGGCAGGGAGCTCTACGCACTATAAGGTAGGCGTGTCATTCCACTCACTCCAGAAAGCACAAAGCTGCAAGTGCCTTCGTTTGTCTTGATACAGAAATAAGACCAGGACTAGGGGGGATTAAAGACGACACGCTTTTTCTTGCTCAAGTTTTAAAACAAGACCATCTTTACCCACTGTATGTGTTCACTGTTTCCATATATGCAAGAGACGCGTGGCCTCCAACATGGCCCGAACTGGGCCAGATAACTGGAAGCTGTTGAGGGATGATTTGTGTCCTCCCAAATCATATACTTGAGTCTTAACCCTGAGGCCTCAAAAGTGATTCAGTTACAATCAGGTCATTCAGGTGGGGCTTGACCCAGCAGGATCATTGTTCTTAAAGGGGAGACTTATCCAGGAAAATGGTGTAAAGGCAGCCATGAGGAGCAGGCAGCGATTAGAATGTTGGAACAAGAATTGTGAACCTCTATCCAAAGCTGGAAGGAGCCAGAAGGATCCTTCTCTACAGCCTTCAAGACTGAGAGCCAGACCATACCTGATCTCACATGTTAGTCATAGAATTGTCAGAATCAATGGCTGATGTTTAAGCTGTCAAGTCATAATGCTTTGATGTGGCAACACAAGCAGAGTGGCTAAGGAAATTAGCTTCAGAGATGATATTCAAAACTTCAGCACTCAATACTGTGAAGACTAGGCATTGATCAATCATCATGGACACAACCTTGAAACTGCCCAAGGCACTATGCAGCACAGAGAACTAACAATCACAAAGCAAGATGAAGGCCCCAAAACAAAGAAAATGTATATAACAGGCCCAGTATTTTCAAAGACTAGTGGTATGAAAAAAGCTTTTTAATACAACAAAAAAGAAAACTGAAGGGGGGGAGGATACATAATTTCTATATATGGTATGGCCTCAACTTCCAGGAAGAGGAAATGAAAATACATGCATAAGCGAGTTTGATTTTTGTGGTAAGAGGGGGTCTGACCTTTTTGTTTCCTTAGGTGACATTCAAATTCCCTACAATATGCAAACATTTTAACAACGAAGAGAAAAAGTTATTTTAACAAGCATGGACAGAATGCACCTGTAGGGCCCCAGGTCCAGTGGCCATCCCAGGGACAGTGCAGTAGCCTCAGCCCAGCCCATAAAGTTCCCTGGAATGGACTACCGAGAAACTAGGAACAGCAAAAAGAACTGCCTAGTCACCAAGCTTCCACAGGGTCCTCCCACATGAGCTCCCTTGGCAGTATTGGGCTTCCACTGGCATGGGCACACATGAATATGTGGTGGTATCTCTGGGTGGTGGGTGGTGGGGAAACAAGGTAACAGTGGCTACCTCTACAGCTGGGAAATAAGGAAAGAGCTCCCTCTCCCTATCCATGTTACCATGTAAAAATAGACAAAACTTTGAAAAACAAGGACTAGAGAGATGGGTCAGTAGTTAAGACCACTTATTTATTGCTCTTGCAGAGCAACTAGTACCCACTCTGTGACTCCAAGTTCCAGGGGATCCAATTTGCTCTTCTGACCTCTTCAGGCACACAGAGCATTTACATACACAAAGGCAAAACACTAGTACACATTTAAAAAAAAACTTTTAAAAAATATGTAAACATAAATAAAAGCCATCCCACATAAAATTAAAATCAAAATGGTCTTAGTATTTAACAGAGGTCTGCAAATAAGCACAAAGACTTCTCAAAAGGTGGAAGAACAGCCGGTACTAGGGAAAAGGCCCTGGAAAACTGTTTCAACATATCAGATCCTCAAGCAAACATCAGTACGGCGTGTGGGCTCACTTCTTCAGGGAGATAAACTGCCAGACTCAGCCTGACCCCTATCAGGCCTGCAAAAGCTCTGAATTCCCATTGGGGGCTCTTTATTTGTTGCCTGGGACCTGCTGGTCTATCTTCCCACTATGACCTTCCAGGACAGACCTCAGGCCCCCTGATATGGGCCTCACAGTCTCCATCTACAGTAGGTAGGAAAACTGCTCCTAAAACAGCCCTAGCAAGTTGCTGGTTGCTTTTTTTAGCACTCAGAATCCACATTCTCTTTAAATAAAGTTGATTATTTCCAGCCGACAGTATGTAAAAATATGTGTCCTGTCAAGTGCAGGTGGCTCTGGGTCCCACCCAGCAAATCCAAGGCCACCCCTGCAGCTGTAGGCTTGGGGAGGCAAGAGGCAGGGGAGGGGGGATGAGCACCAGTATTTCAGCAGCAGGGTAGGAGTGAGACAGTGAGTCAGCAGCCAGGTCTCACTGCAGCTCCCACTCTGTTCTTGATGAGCAAGAGAGGAAGGCTCTTGACAAAGTAAAAGAAAACACAGAACAGGCCCCACATTCTGCTGGGTACTATGGGCCACAAGCTCTAGGTCTCCTTGAAGACAGCAGTTTTGATTGCTAAAGCCTTCCTAGCAGGCCTAGGCACCACAAAGTGGGGCAAGCTGGGAAACCAGAATCACCTGCAATAAGTGGGTGTGTCTGGTATTGTCACCAGGAACCATTATTATCTCAGGAAATAGGAACCAGACTCACGCATGGGCAGGAGTCCAACCTACTTTGCAGCCTGAAGCCCTGTCACTCAAAACAAGTGGACTTCTCTCCTTCTGCTTGCTGTTTTTCAGTGTTAGGTGCTGAACCCTGAACCTTATTCATGCTAGGCAAACAATCAGAACTTACCTCAAGCTTCTCCTGTTCATTTTTTTAAAAAAGGTTCAAAGACCTTTAGCATAGCTAACAGTATGATAAAAGTTAAGTAAAAGGACACTAAATCCTTAACCTAGAGGTTTTTGTACAAGATAGAACCCTGAACTAGAGATGAATTTATAACAATAGGTCATATGCCCTGCCCACCATTTCTTTCCCAGAGAAAGTGTGAATACAAAGGCATTTACTACATGATGGAAGAGAGATGAAGGGCTGGCTTCCCAAGGTTACAACCAGAGCAGAGGTGGAGCTCAGGGCTGCCAGGCCATCCCTCTTCCCTAAGTGAGCCATTCTTTTACACCTCTTGCAATCAATTCTGTCCACACTATAAACATTCACCATGATCCTGCATAATGTGATGCAAAAATCGTTGACAGTGTGCCTGGGTGACAATGTCCACCATCCTTGTCAGTCTCAGTCAACCTAGATAGGAAGAACCATACCTCACCACCCTCATATGTCCTCCATTGTCCATTGGGTCATCAGGAGAGGGATCATGTGTATGTGCAGTGTACGTGTGTGCACTATGGTCTGAAAATCCAGGTCCTTCCAAAATTCATGTGTCCAATCCCAGCCTCACCATGACAGTGTCAGAAAGTGGGACTTGGAAAGGCTGGTGAAAGAGATTCAGTCTATGGCATTTTGCTGGAGCAGCCTGAAGAGTCTGAGATACAGTGTGTGTGTGTGTATGCACATGCGCGCGTGCGCACACATCCCCCCCCCATGTACACATGTGGGGCACATCTGTAGCATGGGCATGCCATGGACATAGGCAGTCAACAGAAGGTAGCCATTCTCTTCAATTGGGAACTCTCACTTTCTCCTTTCTCTCTCCCCTTCCTCCCTCCCTCTCTCCCTCTCTCCTATCAAGCCACTGTGACTGTGTGGGCCTCAACAACTTTCTGAGCTATCTGTGGCTTCAGCAAGGTTTTCAAGATATTCATACTTTAGTCATCAGAAGTCCTCATTTCCCACTCCTTCTGCTCTGTAAAGGACTCTTATCAACTCTTCCCTGGCTGTGCTAAGTTTCAACCTAGGATTTACCAAAGTCCTTTCCAACTGGTGGAAATCCAGTAACTTTTCTTCATTGCCAGCACTTTGTAAAATAGACACTGTTAGAAAAATGGTGAACTGTCATACTCTAGAGTCCTTACACTCATACCTGCCAGGCCCTAATCCTGCTTCCCTTCCTGTGTTCAATTCCCAGCACCCACGTGGTGGCACTGTTAACTCTAATTTCAGAGAATCTGATAACCTCTTCTGGCCTCCACGGGTATCAAGCACACAAGTAGTACACAGATTTATATGCAGGAGAAACACACCTACATATAAAATAAGTTTTAAAAAAGAAGAAAAGAAGCCGGGCATTGGTGACCCACATCTTTAAATCCCAGAACTTGGGGAGGCAGAGGCAGGCAGATCTTGGTGAGTTCGAGGCCAGCCTGGTCTACAGAGTGAATGCCAGGATAGGCTTCAAAGCTACACAGAGAAACCCTGTCTCGAACACCCCCCCCCCAAAAAAAAAGAGCAAATAACAACAGAAAGGCAATGTC